GTTCACTTGGGAGGTCATGAATGTGTAACTTACATGCTAGGATCTGCTTCCACACAGACAGGTCTCTATGCAACTGACCAAAAGACATGATGCAGCTGTGGATTTATTCTGTGGCAAGGACAAAACATGGAGGTGAGTAGTAGGGAATTGGTGAGTAGTGGGGAAAAATGAAAGAGAACACCCTCCCCCTCCCCCTGGTTTCTGCAACTGAATGTTAAAAACATTCTTAAGAAGTAACCCATAGGTACAACTGCGAAAAATCAAGATTCCTTGATCAAATGCAACAGGTTGGTAAGTGAGAGTTATGCCTTCACTACAGGCTGGCAAAACTCACCTATCATCTACCACAATGTGTCCAATACTAAGTTTAGCTTAAGGAATCCAATTGATGCTCAAGGATCTCCAGCAGCTCCACATGCGCCTTTAGTCTGTGCATCTTCTGGGTTACCTTTGCTATCCCACCCCAGCGAATTCATCAATGCTCGTCCTCCCTCTTATATGCCCGCATATGGGGAAAGGCAAAACAGATCCAGGCAGCTTCTGCATCCCTACCAAGAACTTTCTGCTTGCACTGCATTCTTTTGGAAGGGTGAAATGTAACTGGCAACTCAATGCGGGCAGCATTTTGCTGTATTGCTCTGTGTCTTGTGGTTCGTCTGCCAATTGTACACGTAATAAATTTATGATCAGCTACAGCAAGGTGGCCGTAATGGAAATCTTGATGAATGCCCATGTTTACCTGCTGACCTCTGAGAGTTCTCCTGCACCTTTCCATCCTGTTTTTCCTCCCCATTTGGCAGAAAATATTTTGCCTTAAGATTCTGCACTGTGAAGCACATTTCCATGACTCACGGTCCTCGAAAATAAATCTACCTTTATTACAGAAGTTGGAAGGGACCAATTCTCTAGGGGCACTGAGATCCTCAGAGGTGACTCATGCCCACAAAGCACCTCATCGTTCAAGTCTTTTAATCATTTGCCCCAATACATTATGCATCCATTCATTTCCACCCTGGGGAAAAAACAGATGACAACCTCTTAGGCTTGGAAAAGTTGCTGCATTGGACTGCAGGTCCCAGAATACCCCAGATGTCTTGCCCAGTGGTTATGCTCTCTGGGAATTAGGAGAGCTGTGTAACTGTGAAGTGTGATGCTTGCATCCAGTCTCTGACACATGATCACTTCGGTAGCAATTGGAACATGTGGGGACAAATAACAAATCTATTGGAACCAGTTAAATTACTTAGGTGTGATGCTTGCATCCAGTCTCTGACACAATAACGATCACATCGGTAGCAATTGGAATATGTGGGGACAATTAACAAATCTTTTGGAACCAGTTAAATTAGTTAGTGAGTTGGGTGGTTGGCTCAAGAACCAGAATTTGGGAGATTTTTCTCCCCACTGTGCCTGCTGGCAGAAAAGTCAGCGTGTGGGGTGGTTGGCTCAAGAACCAGAATTTGGGGGATTGACTCCCCACTGTGCCTGCTGGCAGAAAAGTCAGCGTGTGTAGCCTTGGGCTACCTGCACAGTCCCAGAGAACCCTCAGAAGGAGGGAGTGCTAAACCATTTCATAGTACCGAGTATATCTAGAAAACCCTGGAAAGGGTCACCATAAGTCAGAATTCTTTCTTTCTTTCTTTCTTTCTTTCGTTCTTTCTTTCTTTCTTTCTTTCTTTCGTTCTTTCTTTCTTTCTTTCTTTCTTTCGTTCTTTCTTTCTTTCTTTCTTTCTTTCGTTCTTTCTTTCTTTCTTTCTTTCTTTCTTTTTCTTCATGTCAGAGAGTTGCATAATTTTAAATTTCTTTCTTTCTTTCTTTTTCTTCCTGTCAGAGAGTTTAAAATTATGGACATACAGTGGTGTCTCGCTTAAGGATTGCCCCGCATCCGATTGCCCCGCATTACGACGAATCCACTTTACGACAATCTTTTAGACAATGCTCTAAATAGGGGAATTTCGCTTTGTGATGATCAGTTCCCTGCTTCGGGAACTGATTCTTCTCAAAATGATGTTTTTCTAATAGTTGATTGGCGGTTTCAAAAAGGGTGCTTGGGAACTGATTCTTCGCAAAATGATGTTTGCGGTTTCAAAATGGCCGCTGGGCAATTAAAATGGTTCCCCGCTGTGTTTAGGGACAGATTCCTCGCTATACAGGCAGCGAAAATAGCCACCGTATGGAGGATCTTCGTTGGATGGTGAGTTTTTACCCCATTGGAACGCATTGAATGGGTTTCAATGTGTTTCAATGGGCTTTTTTATTTCGCTTTACGATGTTTTTGCTTAACAGCGATTTTCCTGGAACGTATTATCGTCGTTAAGCAAGGCACTACTGTATATGACAAATAGGTTAAAATTGAAAACAAATTAAAATTTTAGAAATCATTGTCATTTGTGGTTCTAAAAGGACCACTGGGTGATTTTGCTTATCAGCAAGTTTGAAGTGCAATGCTTTTTGAATTGACATGATGGTGCATAACTATCAGCTGAAATACATTCTCAGGTGGTGGTAGGTATGGCAGATGCCAGTTGCAGACAGGGAAAGAGGCAAAAGAAGTAGAGCCTATCTATTATTATTCTCTCCCCCCTGCTCCCCTTCCCTGATTCCTGAACAGATCTTTTGAAGAGTACTTTAAAAATCAGGTCAAGGGTCACAAGAAATTAGCCATGGATCACATGGGATGCCAGAATGCAAATAGGAGACTTTGCCACAAATGATTTCTGGAACAGGCACCTCCCTAAGATTGTCTACTGGCTAATAATGTGAAATGTTTTGCTAAAAGCAATCACCTTGTGAACTGTGCTTTGTTTTTGTACTCAACAGACAGTTTTGGAATATCTTCAAAGGCATATTACTAGGTAATATTTGGGGTCTGTAAGATGCAAAATAGTACAGAGTTCCTGATACACTTTAAAAAGACGTCATTATCATGCCAGATTGGGATGAGCAACCTGTCGTGCAACAGAAAGGCAAGATCTACTTTCTAGCAGAAGCAGCAAAGACAATGACAAACCTGAGGATGTAGCACTTAAGACTGTGCAGCAGGTTCATATGAAGAATGGTCTCTTGACATGCTAGTTTTTTAGGTGCAGGAATTTTGTTTTTGAGCAGCACTGTATTATGATTCCTACCTTCCATGAAGTCCATATGCAAAGCTCACAAGGACAGATATACCTGAGAGCATCCTTTCTAGAGAAGTATTAAAATTGCAGACTTCTCATTTCACTTTCTTAATACTTTCTAGGTGAGGAAGCTATCCACATGACAAAGCACATTCTGATTGTGTGTTGCATAGGCAAAAGAAAAGGCCAAATCAAACCTTGCAAATTAACTGTCTTGTGATCTCAAAATGAAGGCAATTGCAGAAAGACGTGAAAGATGCAGTTTCATGATGATGTTGCCACACTCTTCCAGTGATTGAGGTCATGTTTGGCATGATTAGTGCATAGAGTTGACATTCCTCAGAGCACTGGCTGAAGTCTCAGGGAACTGCCATGCTTCCCTGGGTTTCAGGTGCCAGAAACAAATCTGGCTGATGAATGTCTGTCTGTCTGTCTCAGTTAAAAAGCCTAGGCACCCATCCACACCCATTCTGAGCTGGCACCAAGGCTCACTGAATCAATCTGAATGTGTTGTAACACATTGCACCCTCATATGATGTCTTTGAGAGAAGGTTTTAGCTGGGAAGGACTTTTCTGATTGGGGTTGCAGTCAGTCAACTTAGTAGCAGCCAGTTATTCCCTCTATACTTCAGATTCTTTTTCCTGTGTTTTTTTCCTGCCAGGGTTTTATTCCATTAGAGTCAGTTAGCAGTTAAGGGTATGTCAGTGTGTTAGTTTCAGAGTCAGAAGTGAACAGTTAGGATGAAGTGTTCCGTCAGCAATGTAAGCAATCAATTAATAATGAAGTAAATTAATCACTTAAGCTCAGTAATTTAACAAGTTGACATTTCCACTAAATATGATGTTTGTTTTTATATAAGAAGAACTGTGAGTAAAATGAAACATTTTATTCTTTTTCATACTAGTGTGAGCAAATATAGCGAAACAAATAAGTGCTAGTTGAGGTAAACTAATAAATAAGGGGTGATTTACTAAGGAAGACTAAAGTTCCATCTGCTCTGTAGGTTACTGATCAAAGTATTTTATCTGTTGTGTAATAAGAGGAAGTTTATTTTAATTAAAGCAACACTCAACGATTTCCTTACACCAATAAACAAAAACCACAATAGTTTCACATGACAGAAGAGGGCCAAGAGGATGCATTCTCTTCTCAGTCCTCCATCCTATTCTCTTACCTCTGCCTTTTTGACACTCCAGTGTCAGGCCTACAACTTTATGTGGAGTAAGATAGGGATGGAAGAACCATTGTCTTAACTAATGAGCCTTCCATTTGCACAAGCCCGGGCAACGGCATCACAAAGCCTGGGGACCACCGCCCCCAACCCCATCCTTGTCTACCCTGAGATCCGTCTCCTAACCTCACACTTTGGACTGGAAATCTCAGGGAATGGGGTGCTACTGATTTAGCCTCCTTATCAGAGGAGGTATAACTCAATAGTGCATCCCCTTGGGTCAGGAAACTGAACATCATAGATTCTGATTGTTAAATCATGGTCCTATGTGCTGCTTCCACCTCATGCGCAGCCCTGTTGAATATGACATGGGTCAGCTGAACTGAAGGATTTGGTGGGGCCAGGTGTTGTATTTTCACTGTCGTGAAAAAGAAGCCATTTGATTGCAGACAGGTGTCAACCTTGCACATTTTATCTTCCATATTTTTAGCAGTGGTGCAAGTATGAATTGAAAACAATGACGACAGCGAAAACAATAACATCCTTTGCTAGGAATGTTTAAGAAAGATAGTCTGCAACACGCCCTCTAAAGAGTCAGCCTCAGCCTTAAATGCACTTTCTGTGAGTTGGCCAGTACAGCCCATCCCCATCTTGCTGACGTCTGACTCTATTGCACATCAGACTTTTCCCGGTGGAGAATGAGCTTCAATGAAAGCTGCCTGCTTGCAGTCTTAAAGGGACTGCAGACACTGGGTTGGCTACTTCCTTTGCTGCTTCTTTTTGTGCTTCTTCCCTTTGAGCCTTAAGCCAGAAAAACCATAGAAAGATGAAGAGATGATCTGATTGCCTAGCAGCGCAGGAGTGATCCGTTAGTTCCTTTTGAATCACTTGTCCTGCATCAACTGCTAGAGAGGAGCTATTCCATTCTTCCAAAGAGGCTGAGATCGAGCTGTCATTCTGCAAGCAGATGAAGGACAATCATGCTGGCTGAGTAAAGTTGTGGCTTCCCCAGTCCGAGACAATGGTGTTGTCTGTCCCAGTGATTGCTCTGGGGGCCACCTTGGGGACTGCTACAAGCATCCTTGCCTTGTGTGGTCTCACCTGCTTGTGCAAATGCAAGCGAGCTGGGAAAGGATCCTCAGACAAGGAGAAAGGTCTGGATGCTGACAATGCCAAGCCCAGCGTGCTTCAGACAGTCCAGCAGGTAAAGCAGCGTGTTGATTTTGCTCTTCTTCCAGAGAGGCAATGCATTGTGGAGTGAGGTTGCCTGGCATGTAATAATCTGTGATTTGTTGCACTGTTTTCTTTTTGCAGGGCTTCAGGATGCAGAATGATTTCTATGCAAAAAGGAGGACAGAAGGAGGTGGGGAGGGGGAATCTGATGGCAAGTGGGATTGTCAAAGCAACAGCCAGCTTTTGTTTCAGGAGAGGGAAAGGTGGGGGTGGCAAACATACAGCAAGCTCACAATCTGTCAGGGTGGCTGGACCAGCTGAATGCTTGTACCATCAAAGCCTGGACACCCCGGTGGAAAAAGGGAATTAGAAATTGTGTCTGAATATATTGTAATGCTATCTCTCATCTTGCCATTCACTTGCATGTATACGCATCCATGTCTGTTGCTCAAGGAGAAGACTTCTCTGTAACTTGCATTTTAAAAAAATGGTTTATTTATTTATTTATTCATTTATTCATTTATTTATTAATTTTATTTCTATGCCGCCTATCTGATCGTATTCAACCACTCTAGGTGGCTTACAATAAAAACAATGATATAATTTTTACAACATTACAGCTAGAACATAATGAAGATAGAGAACAAAATAGGAAAAAATCGTCAAGGGTTTTCTTTGAGTACTTTGAGTAACTTTTTAGGCTAGCGCATGAAAAATTTAGTACTATTGAAAATGCAAAGCACAGCAGAACAATAAAGACATACTGTATAAGCAAAATGCATACTTTGAAAACACCAGTATAAACACAACAGAAGAGCCGCAGTAGCATCCTAACTAAAGAGGTGGGAGCCCACTTGAAGGTTTATGATGATATGGTCTGGTTGAGAGAATTTGGGACAAGTTCCTCCAAGGTGGAAAAATGGCCCTGTTCTTTATGTTCATTAGCTTAACAGTGCTTATGAGCAGGGCTTTCAAAAGTGCTGTCATTATGCAGGCAGGATGGTATGTAAATGTATCTTGGTGTCTGCATATGTCCCATTAATATACTGAAGCATATTATATCATAGGTGTGTTACATGAAACATATATCTATGTATTTAAATTTCCTACACACACAGAGAGAGAGAGAGAGAGAGAGAGAGAGAGAGAGAAGCATGCCATGTTATTTAGTGTACACTATATGCTATACAGTATATGCATCCTTGTGCATCTATACACACGGTATATGCATATGCATGCACACCATGTTATATGGGATATGCGTTATGTACAATGTGACAGTGTGTATATAGAGACACACCATGTAGATATGTTTGCTGAAATGTTAAGGCAAGACAATAACATCTGGATTATGGCAAATATCTAATGATAACAAAAGTAAGGACAACTATGGACAATCTATTGTTGCATTGTAATGTGAATGGATGGTTAGATCTTCTTGGAACTACGTGTAGTAATGTTTGGCTATATAGGATGGAAGTAACATTATGACCACAATTGACAGTTGTACATCAGAGAAAACTTGACGACCAAACCTCGAAAGAATGAATTCATATTCCATCTTAGCCAATGATTCTTTAAACAGATATGGAAATCATTCTCTTTTGGTTGTTTCTACATTTTTATTTTTACTTTCTGTAGTCTGGATTATTTGTTTTGCTCTTGTGAGGAGACCTATAGTTTTGTCTGTTTTCTTTTATTAGAAAATTAATATATAAAAAAACCACTGAAAGGCAAAAAGGACCCACATTTCCACCACCTGCACGAACATAATCAAGGATAATCTCATTTCCTTTGATAGAGAATTCTAAGACTCTGTGCTGCCACACAGAAGATATCATGTCTTGTGTTTAGAGTTGCCTGTCTGCCCAGAGTTTTTAGAATGAAAATCTGAAGCTCGTGGATGGGTTTTGATGGTGGCAGAGAGACAGTGCAGGAAGGAGCTGGGAGAAGGCTGGTACTTCTTCTGGACCACTGATCACAGACAAGGGCATGGAGCAGAGCAGGTGGACTAGATAGATGAGGCCAGAACCTGGGTAACATTTTAATTAATCGGGCAGATGACAAATGTCCCCAGAAGCTGTGGCAGTTTCTACCATTCCTCCTAGAGCCTCCAGCAGCCCTAGCAGGAGCCTATATCACACAAACAACACTTGGGGAATTTTTCCAGGCTCTATGCTTTCAATGGGACTTGTGAAAGCCCATTAAATCACAGGTGGTTCCCCCCTTCAAATCCTATGCCAATGTCATTTTTCCAACAAGAAGGCTCATGAGTCAAAATGCTGCCATTCTACTCTCTGCCTTGCTCCAAAGGGCGTGATGCAGCCAAAAGCGTGCATCCACCTGGTCTCTTCCAAATACTCTCTTCTCACTCTTGGCTTTTTAGTGCAACATCTTATGCAAGAACAATACAGATAAAATATCTTTGTGCTGAGCTAGTGAGCCCTGATGCTAGCTGGGAACAGGTGAAAATGGATCCCAGCTTTTAAAGCCCCCTTGCCCACATCACTGCTCACCTTGAAATTAGTCTGTCTGGAGGTCTGTGAAAGCAATGCAATTTGCAAAAAAAAGTTCAGGAGAAGTAATATCTTTATTAGACCACTAAAAATGAAATTCTGGGTGGTATCCTTCCTTGTGCTCCCACCAGTTGAAGTCCTTGTAATGATGGGGATATAAAATTGCCTTAACCTTTGGGCATGTTCTGACTGAATAAAGGAAGCCACAGACTTGAATCTGCAAGAGCTGAGCAGGGCTATTAATGACAGAACCTTCTGGAGACAGCGAGTTCATAGGGTCACCATAAGTCAGAAAAGACTTGACAGCACATGACAAGAACATGGCCAAGGTCATATGGAAGAAGGGGCCTAGAAACAGAAGAAGCCAGAATGATTGGTGTAAAGTTAATAGGATGATGGGGTAGATCATATGTACTTATGTTTAGCTATTGTGGTTCAAGCCTGAAATGGATTTTTGTTTGTTTGTTTGTTTTTTCCGTAACAGATGAAAAATAATTTCTGAATGAATAATACAATGTCTGAAGTCACTCTCCATTTGGCTATGAGTATTCTTCTGCTCTATTTAAATTGTATAGTTAAAGTGATATGTTGCTTCTGCGGGCACAACTGTTAGCTCTACTCCTCTTCACAAGCACTCAAACGCATACATCATTCTTTCTAATTACTTCCCCCCTTATAGCTACCCTCTGAACATGGAGCAGGGTGATGAAGCAGTCTAGTCATACACCAATAAATACAGTTAGCCTAATCTGATCAAGGGTCACTCTTCAAATTTCAGGATTTAAACCAAGCCCTCACATACCTTGATTCATCAGGCCTGTGGTAATTTCCTTGTTATGTTTGCACTATAAACCCCTCCCAGGGTGTTCAGAGTGATATTTAAGCCCCAGGCTCTTTCAGTCAGGTAGGTTGGGTTGAGGGAGTGTAACATGCCAAAGGCTATCCTGTGATCTATCCGTTGCAGTCCCATAGCTTCCCTCAGATTTAAGACATCTTCTGACACTAGTGCTCTTTTGGCTCATGCTGAAGACAACACCAGCCATGGGACAGTGTCCTCTATGGTTCAAGAGGGCAGCCAGCTGATGGACGGAGGTTAGAACAGGGTGTATAGCACACATAGCTACTTCTCTCATTCAGTGAGCTCTCAGCAGTTTAACTTTGTGCCGGATTGTGACCACTGTAATATACATGTGACTCTTTGCATGTGTAAAGTGTTTTACTCTGACATTTTAATCATCCTCACACCACATCCACGAT